TCTTCTAAGCAGTCAGTTTTTGGAATGCCTTCAACAAACTGATCAATTGCTTGATCGATTTCCTCTTCGGACGAAAATTTTCGACCACGCAGATTTTGTTGAAGAGCCAGAAGTCACGCTTTTTCTAATCTGGCGAATTAGGCGGATGTTCTAGCGTTTTGATAGGGCGTTGGCGTGAAAAATCTAAAGTTAGTTGGGCAATGTGTGTTTAAAATATTCTAATAGCATAATTATACAACACCTTATAGGGCAAATTTTTAACTGTTGCATAAACGTTTATACAATTATTTTATACGGCATATTTGCACGTTAGTCAAAATGATTGTGATTGTGTCATATTTTTGTTAAAATTCCATAAATGTTTTAAGACAAACAACGCATGCATACGTATATTGGTTCAAAATGTTTTATCAACTGTTCAAACAGAATATATAGGTCTGGTACAAATTCTGGGTAAATCATTCGGTATTTCATTTCAGACATTTGTCAAATTGTTGTATAACACCTACCAAAATATTCTAATAACCTAAAGACAACATGGACGATGCCATGATTATACACAACCACCCGCCATATTGGGCAAACATGTATTTCTCTATTTAATATTAAATAATTATGTTTCAGTTAGAAATTACAGATATAAAGTGATAAACATTACTGTAATTGTGTCAAAATATAGGATTTGTGGAAGATTTAACGCAGATAAGTTCAGTTTTCCATCTCAAAAATCTAGACATACTTTTGATCATTATCAAAATATGAATCAAATACGAATTGCGTAACTAATTTGCACGATAATCACAATAAAATTTGCTGCGCAAGTAATTCAATAGCCCTATATCACAATGTAGAAGTTTATCACATACCTGTGTATGAGATTCACAATGGCCGATACGTAAGTAAACAAGATGACTGTAATGTGTTAGTTATATATTCTTCTTCGTCTATACAACACAAAAGAAATAGTTTGGTTGCAATAAAGTTGAATCACGTAACAGAATAGTTGTATAGTTGACAAAAACTGAATCTTGCACTGACGCAACTGTCCTATAGCGGCTGCAAAAGGCTTACGCTTTTGTTGTATAACTGTTACCTGCAGCCCTTATACAACCTCTTAAATGACTGAAATGTTCTATTAGGTGTGCCCATTCCGCTTGTATAGCAGTTCTAAGAGGGTTTTAAGGAATACTGTATAATCATTCTTGCAACTCTAATAGGAGTGATAATTGTTAGTCGGGTGTGCACTATTGCGGATCCTACCCCAAGAGTTGCCTCTATAGTCGCATATGTGCAGCGAACTCTGAACTTCAGCAATATTTTCTGGAGTCACACTAGAACATGGCCTACCACTACGTTCTTCATCAGCCAATGAAACACGCCTTATTTTTAATCCGGCATACTAGCGAAACACACTTGCCCGGGACAGAGCTTCATTACCAAATGCCTGTTGTAACCGTTGGATACATTGATGTTCAGTTAAACCGTCTTTAAAGTGATAGTAAAACATAGCGCGATAACTCCACGTTTCGCCTTAAATTTATTTACACAACGTGCACTGTAAGGCGCTTGCAAGTGTACCGGATGCGGCGACTTACTAATAAAGGACTGCTCTTCCTAATAGTGCACTGTTGCCGATTTTAACTAGTATAGTTAATGCGCATCTCAAAATATACAGCGTGCCCCTCGTATATATATACAGGGTGGCCCATCCATGGGTGGACGAAATATTACTCATAAACAAATACATTTTGGAAAATCTATTTATGGCATGTTATACACCACATTTGAGGGCACATATGTAAAATATTGGCAATTATACAGGGTGTCCCAATTTTGACCTACATATCAAAGCTGTGATTTTTTTAATGGAATGCCTCAAATTTTATTGCATATTCGGATAAACCAATTCAAAATAAGAAGATTGATATAACATACTATGTGGTTTTGGTAATTAGCTACTGAGATGTAACGTGTTTTGTCCAATTCGGCAACCCCTCAATTCGCCATTTTGAAATTTGGAGTGCTGAATTTTGTACCAAAAAAAACTTACACACCTCAGCTTTTATCTTATTTGTTACTTTTTCGAATTTTTATTTTTGCTCATTCAGGGTGGTCAAAAACGCGAATTGTACTTTTTCTTAAAAATTTCAAATGCTTCACCCTGAATATTTGTGCAAGTTTGGATTCAATTTTTTTTTGGTATAAGGTTTGATTCAGATAAAATCACTAGATTTGGAGTTATTAAGCTTTTAATAGGACAACACACCAAAATTACGGAAAAAATCACATCATCCATGGAAACAAAAGACAAACAGTAGGCTAGTTCCATATTGCCACTGAGAGTACAGATTTGACGTAAAAACTAATAACAATCAGAACAGTATAAATCAGCTTCAAGCGTAACAGAGAAAAACAAGTATAACAACATTCACCATTTCTTCTTTAGAAGAATTCATTTTCAAACACGTTTTTATTATAATGCTCACAAAGCTAATTTTGACAGTTTGTTAATCAACCATTTATTTGTTTCCAAGGATGATGCGATATTTTAGGGAATTAAGCCGTTCCATAAAAGACGTGCTAATAATCGCTGTAAAAACCCTTATGTGTCTAGTATCGAAAAAAGCTTATAAAAAATTTAATCCAAACTTGCACAAATATACAGGGTGATGCAATTGAAATTTTTGAGAAAAACTACAATTCGCGTATGAGCAAAAATTAAAATTCGAAAAAGTAACAAATAAGATAAAAGCTGTGTGTAAGTCTTTTTGATACAACATCACTCCAAATTTCAAAATGGAGGACTCAGGGGTTGCCGAAGTGGGGGCTTTTTCTAGACAAAACACCTTATATCTCAGTAACTAATTACCAAAACCCCATAGTATATCAATTTTCTTCTTTTGAATAAGTTGATCCAAATATGCAATAAAATTTGAGGCATTCCATTTGAAAAATCACAACTTTGATATGTAGGTCGAAATTGGGACAGCATGTACAATGACCAATATTTTAGAAATATGCCCTCAAATTTCAGGAATAGATCTTCCCAAAATGTATTTGTTAATGAGTAATATTCCGTCTACACATGGATGGGCCACCCTGTATATTCCGCTATCGCTCATTCGTATTTCTCTCCCTATCTCGCTCGTATGCATTAAATACGGGACATCTGTTCTGCTCTGCTGATGCTGTATAGCTAATACAAAATAGTCACTCAGTTGCTGTTGTGGAAGAGTTCCTTGTTACTGTTCAATTTACTGGTGGCTGGTTCTGGGAACGCCTTCATATCAATCAATTCACATTTCCTTGGTAGGAGCATTTTGATATGTGTAGCATTTCACTTTCATGAGCGATGCTGTCAAAATGAATATGCCAAACCAGGTTCCTTAAAAAACGTACAAGTATGTTTGAAAAGATTTAGGTCTCATTACATGAAATAATATATAGGGTGTCTGCGAAAGGTTGGGAAATCTCGAAACTGGAGATACTACAGACCAAAATATGTGAATTGTCCTAAACATACCTTAGTCCAAAAGTTGATAGTTTGCGAGATCAAAGTTACAATTTTTGTTTTCTATTTTTCCTTATTGCTTGAGGAGTATTTCAGATTTTGGCATAAGTACGTTTTCTGGTATGAGAAACAAGAATCCGTTATCTTTCATGGCCAAACTTCTACAGGGCACCACTCACAGCACTATTTCGATAAATAACTTATCATAACTTTTTTGTGCTACCCTGTATATAGTTCAACTGACCAATACGTCTTATTTTCTCGTATTTCCTCAACAGAAAAGGTTTACTTGTTAGAAGTGTTTATCATATTAGAAAACCTCCCTATAGCGAGTTTTATGCCAAAATCTGAAATAGATACTTCTCGAGCAATGAGGAAAAATATAAAATAAAATTGTAATTTTAACACTTGGGTGACTTCGAGGTTGAGTCATTTATTTTAACAGTGAGTAGATCTGATCAAAAGAAATGTTTTTTCCTTTAACATTTTTCTGGTAAAATTAAAGTAACAAAGTTATAGCCCTTTAGAAGTTTGAGTACCACCCTGTCTCAATAATAATATTATGTGCTCGTGTTTGGCGACAACGGATATAATCCGCCTTATCGGCTCATCGCATCGGAAACAAAAAAGCGAAAGAATTTTTAACGCTTATCACCATGTTTTTACTACAATTTTATTCAGTTGTATTCAGTCAATGTGTCAGTCGGTGACGCGTGAGTGAATAGTGGTATTTGTTGTGTGGCTCAAACGAAATAAAAAATTGGCACATGTTTACGAAAATGCTGGCCGCACGATCAAATACAGGACCGCACTGAAATTCTTGTCGGGAGGATACTTTATAAAACAAGGTAAATTTTTTTTTTATTTTTACACACATATTTTGGTTTATCTTCCTTCTACAATTGTTATCTGAAAATTAATGACTCAACTTCAAAGTCACCCTGATGACGTATAATTTTTGATCGAAAAAAAAAATTAAGATCGACATGAGCTTCGAGAAGCATAAGGAAAAGCAGAATCGAAATTGGCGGAAGTTTGGAAGAGAATTATTCATTTTGGTAGCATTCCGCTTTAAGTTCTCATCAAGATCAAAGTGTGTCAATAAAATCTGGGAAAGTGCGAAAACTAATTTGGTTAATTTACATCAGAAACAAAACCTGTGGTTGTTTCTCTAGTCGCCACATGAAACCACAGATGTAGAATGAACGTTTCGGCCACCTTGATAGCCTACGAAGTACATCAAAATAGACAATGACACGAAGTTAGTAAATCTCCATTCAACATCTGAGGTTTCATTTGGTAATAAATATGAATATTCACTAACTTTGGTGTTTAGCTTCGCGATATTTTCGTCTACAATCAGATCAAAAATGCTGCATGCCATCTTTGATGTTTCATTTTTAACCGAAAATCATCTAAGTTAGTATTCGCAAGTTCCTGCATATAAGTCGATAACTCATCCGAATATTGAGATACGATTAATTATTAGGATGAATTTCACCCGTTCATCGAGGCTCTTCTACCTTTCGTTAAGTCCTTTTCCTACACATGGTTCAATCTACAAGCAGCTAAGAGGAAATACTACAAGAAGCACGAGAAACGAATGTCCTTGGAAGAGGAAAGGCAATGCAAGGAAGCCCTACAGGTAGGCACATACACACACTACGTGGATAAGGTAAAACTTTCTCGACTTGACACACAAGTAGTGCACCAATAAGCGAAAATGTAATTCCAGTATTATGTGCACATATCATTTGTTCAGACAAATTTGCTTGTTGTATCAAGTCTACACGAATTTTTGAAGTTTTCATTCAGATGTATACTAAGTGACATAAATCCGAACACCCAGTTTAAATGGTTTTATTTTAATAAAAGTTGGTGAATGTATTTATCTTACTGTAAATAACAAGTGAAAAATTTTTCAGCCTTATCAGTTGGACATTCCGGTTTTTATACTGCTTTTTTTTTAATTCACTAACGCTCTAAAAATGAATATTTCAGCCGCAGTAAAGAATCAACGTTGGCGGATTTTGGTTCTTGACATTCTTTACGATCGGTTACGATGCCTAGAGTACGGAGACCTGTACGATTTCGTCAACTTAGTGAGTTTGATAGGGGCCGTATAGTGGGACTTCGGGAAGCTGGACTTTCTTTTCGGGCAATTGCAGTTAGAGTGCAAAGAAGTGTAGACACTGTGGTTAGGTGTTGTCAGGCATGGCTTCGAGAAGGCCGTACGCAAAGAGCAAGGGGCACTGGACGCCGCCGTAGAACAACAGACCGTGAAGATCGCCGCCAAGATTATTGGCCTTAAGGGACCGTTTCTCCACTACCAGGTCCATTGCAAATGAATGGTTTGCAGAACACGGAAGACCTATTGGCATGCGAAGTGTTTACCGACGAATGAGAAGTTTTGGCTTGATTTCATACCGGCCACACTGGGTCCTCCCTTTAACTCGAGAACACCGACGCAATCGCCTTGAGTGGTGCAGACAACGGTCACTCTGGGATCAGGAATGGAACAGTATTGTCTTTAGTGACGAGTCTCGATTTTGTTTAGGCATGCACGATGGTCGTGCCAGGGTTAGAAGGCGACGTGGTGAAAGGAGGAATCCACAGTTTTTTGTTGAAAGACATGTTCATCACACTGTTGGAGTTATGGTTTGGGGTGCTATAGCTTATGGTTCCAGGTCACCTTTAATCTTCATCAGAGGTAACATGAACGCGCAGCGTTATATCCACGAAGTTCTAGAACCCCATCTTTTACCCTATCTTGACACCCTGGCGGATCCAACTTTCCAACAAGATAATGCCCGACCACATGTTGCAAAAGTCACAATAGACTTCTTTCAACATAATGATGCTACATTGTTACCATGGCCACCAAGATCTCCCGACTTATCCCCAATTGAGCACGTGTGGGATATGATGGGTAGGAGATTGCTCAATTTGCAACGTCCTCCTCAGACTCTAGAAGCGCTTCGAGAGGAGTTGGTGGTTGCCTGGAATGAGATACCACAGGAGGACATTGACCACCTGATCAGAAGCATGCCTAGGCGCGTTGGAGAATGCGTAGCACATCAGGATGCATCCACACATTATTAAAGGTCAAATGGCTTTAAAGCAGTGCAATCATTTTGAAATTTTTATCATTTACTTATTATGCTTCATTAAGTACCTATACAAAATTTTATTAAAATGAAACCATTTAAACTGGGTGTTCGGATTTATATGTCACTTAGTATGTTTTGGTCTGTAGTATCTCCAGTTTCGAGACTTTCTAACCTTTCGCATATTGAAACTGGCTAAGCTTGGCCCATTGTGAAGATGAGTCTTAATGGATTGTTGTTGTGTGTTAGAACGAGAAGGCGGAAGTGAAGCAGAAATGGGCGTCTCGTCTTCTGGGCAAGTTGAGGAAGGACATCACCCAGGAATGCCGGGAGGACTTTGTTCTGAGCATCACCGGCAAGCGGCCAGCCGTTTGCGTCTTGTCCAACCCCGACCAAAAGGGGAAAATGCGTAGAATAGACTGCCTGCGCCAGGCTGACAAGGTCTGGCGACTAGATCTCGTTATGGTGATACTTTTTAAAGCAATACCGCTGGAAAGCACTGACGGAGAGAGACTCGAGAAGAATCCCGATTGTGCTCAACCAGGACTATGTGTGAATCCATATCATATAAATGTTTCCGTTAGGGAGTTGGATCTCTATCTCGCTAATTTCATCAATAGCCATGGTAAGATTTATTCAACGACAAAACTGCTTTCCCACCTATCTGACTCTATTCAAGTACAAATTCTAATTTGGAAGACTTTTGTGATTCATATTCAAGTAGATTGTGGATATTCAATAATGACTGTAAAACTGACGAATGCAACCTACAATATCCCGCTATAAATCGACCCCCCCCCTCTAAATTTTTAATATGACCTTTCAGAGTATGTAAAAGTTATAGGGTACAATAGCGCGCGATCTGCGCCTGCGTGCAGTTTCGGACTTACTCTTTGTTGGTTCGGGCACTCGGCGCAGCACAACCGTGGCAGATACTTTTTCAAGGTAGTGCATTCTCACCTTGTTCATTGCGAATGTTGCCATTAATCCTGAGTTGGGCTTCAACTGTTCACAAGGTTATTCAGTCGTTCATCCAATCATTTATCCAGGCTCGCGACTGTTTGCTGTTTGCTTGTAGCACTTAGTCGTGCAAGATCTTTAGACGGTATTCAAATTGAAGAAAAATCGTGGGGTGCATTTTACATTTTCATAACTCTCCTCCCATAGATAGTTGCCAATAGAATGATTGCAACATTTAATATATCAAGCCTCCCACGCATTTTATTCTTAATTGAATGATTCTGTTAATAACTTCAATTTTATTATGATTTTATTTTGAGGTCAGTAATTATGATTGATTGTTCGACCATCTACTACTGCAATATAAACTTTTTGTAGTTAATTCTTATTGCCCACATTGGGTGCTACGTCGTAGGTGGTAGACGGTCTCTGACTGTCGAACGCGGAGGTACCACCCGGCGGATCTCGTGAATTTTATTATAATTTCACTTTAAGCTATTATTTAGTTCTGATTCAAAATGTATATGGTTTATCATACTCATTTTCATTCGTTTGGTCAAAAGCTAAAGTTCATGTGTCATTTATAGTTTATCCACTGAAACAAAGCAGTTACGTCATATTTAGTAAATTTGAATGCCACCCTTAATGCAAAATACATTTATGTTGATAACGTCAACGGCTGTTGTTTATAGGTGATTTATTTCCGTTCTTTTTGCTTCAATATTTGCATTGTTATTTCATAACTTCAACATTTTGAAGTGTACTTTTAAAGATTTTGCTAAAAGAAAAAGCAGAAGAATTCGTCATTTCTTTGAAGAAATATTTTGAGACCATGGAGCTCCATCATTGCCTTTACAGTCCGTAAGAGGGGTATTAGGTAGTAAATAGAATTTATACTAGCTCTAGTATATACAAAACATATGCTCCGTAATGTTGGTTGTGGTGTGGCATTGAAGACATAAAGTAGATTTTGTAAAACCTCCTAAGATCTAAAAGTTTCAATTAATGTGGCAACCATGTGCGTCACTGTCATTATTTGACGTTGTGAGGTAACTGCTTTGATTCAGCGAATAAACTATACTCAGAGTTCGAACCAGTTTGCATCTAGCAGCCTATTCTATCTGTCTAGGGACGAAATACAGAGGATTAAATGACACGCAAAGTTTAAGTTAAAGTAATAAAAATAAGTTTAACAAGCCATCTGTATTTGGAATCAGAAAAATGCACTATTGTCTTCACAAAACATATAGAGGGTGTTCCATTTAAAAAAATAAAACTTTATTCAAAAGCACTTTTCTGAGACCACTGGTATACAAGGTAGTTCTTCTCGGTGATTTCAATGCCCATAATGCCCATACATGAAACATTCCATAGTAGACCCTATGACTTTTATTCACAACTTTTTCTTGTAGAAGCTTCATGTAAAAAAAGTTAGAGGGGGTCAATTTATAGCCGGTACAGTATATATGTTGACCCATTTCTGATCCATACCCAAACATAATATATGAGTTAGGAAGTTGTAAAATATGCCAATGTCTGGCCAATGTGGAAGTAGGTAGGCATGCCAGCTCATGAGTGCCTTACAGCTGATCAACTTGGCAAGAGTACGGAATTGCAAATAAATATTATGCCTTCTCCTATAATATTGGCATATTTTCAAAATAACACTAGTCTGCGCCACCTGAAAACCGTTATTACCTTTATCATTGACAATGAACTAGTATTTGCAATTTTTATTTTCAGAATACTTTTTAATATTAGCGGAAAATTTGTAAATGTGTAAATTTTGTATTTACGCGTGAGGTCCCGTCCTCTCGTCGACGTCCTGCCGAGATACACCTTGTTGAAAACATGCGCGGCTATTTTTGATACACTTTACATTATTACAAAACAGAATGCTTTGTTCTAATTATAAATATACCACTGAGCTCCTCAATTTTACTAAAACGGAATTATTTTAAGAGTATTATATGGCAGTTGCTTATCTGGGTTTCACTCTTGATTGGTTAACGGATTTTACGTTTCTTTAAAACTCTGAAATGTGAATGATACGTCTACCGCCACTATATTTAATGAAGGTAATCAGAAAGTAGGCCTGAAAAATGATTAGCTTCAAACAAACAAAAACATCATCGTCATCATCGTATCTAATTGCGAACAAAATCAATTTTCTGAATTTTGAGGTTGTGAAGTTGCTTTACTGACCTAGCGCGTTACTAAGTTTCAGGTTTTCTGTAACTCTTACGTAGGATATCGAGGACAAGAAGAACGTATCTTATAACTGCATAATTACTATACTATAACTATCTAAAACTGTAATGACTCATCGATGTTCACGTGAACATCACTTAACTACCAGTAGTCGGCTGTTCATAGGCGGGGTATGAACGTTTAACATGGGTGAACTAGATTTGTCACATGCTTAATAAAGAGTGGTTTGAAACATATTGTAAGTCAAAAATTTGAGAATTACCTTTATTCATCGTCGCTTCCACTTACGTCTGACAGTAATAAACTGTCGCTATCGCTTTCCTCGTTGAAATTGACTATAACTGGCTCTATGATGGTGTCGATGTGGTGGTCAAGCTGCCACATTTTTGTTTCTTCCTTCACAACATGACGGATAGCATTCTGCCAAGCTTCGGGCGTTACTAGCTGTATGAAAGTCTCAAGTAAAACCTTAACGTCTGGTAATTTGAAGGTTGTGTTATGGCGCGCAATATAACCCTTCACTTGAGCCCAGATGAGCTCTATTGGTTCAGTTCACAGTGGTAGGGCGGTAACCGTAGCACAGTGACACCACATTGACGGGCCATCTCATCAGTCACGTAACTAATGTTCGCAGGTTTGTGCTGTTTAATTTTTTCATACAATTCCGCTTTCACACATGAATCGTCAAACGGGATTCCTTTTTCGCGCAACCATTGCTGCATGTCACTTTTTTGAGATCCCATAGTCGGTACACGTTCGGCTCGACGACTATGGTAGGAAGCATTATCCATGACGATCACAGAGTTGGGCTCAACTCGCTGAAGCACCCCTTGAAACCAGCTCTCGAAGCAGCTGGCATTCATTTCGTCATGGTAATCACCTCCTTTCTTAGAGACGAAAATCAAGTCACACTCTTCTAAAAAGCCACTATCGCTACCAATATGAGTTACGATCAATCTTTGACCTTTCCCTGACGGTCCACGAAGACCTGTTGACAAACCTTCAATGCTTGCTTGTCGGTTACTCACTACGCTTTGTCTATCCAGGTTTTTTTAACTGTGTGACCTGCATTTACCCATGTCTCGTCCAAATAATAGATTTTTCTGCTTTGTCGCCTATATTCAATCATTTCGCGTAGGTATTTTCGACGCCAGGCGACTATTTCAGGTCTCTCTATCAATACTGACTTACGATTACGCGTTTCGTAACGAAAATTAATTTCGTGCAGGGATTTCCTCATTACCTCGACGCTCATTTGGGGTATAATTTCATTTTCCTTGATCGCTGCATGTACAGCCTTGAGGGTTGGTATCTCATTCCTAAAGAAGAATGAATGTACGGTTCGCCTTAACGCCATTTTGCTATTGTCATCCAATTTAACGGCCTTTCGTCCCTTCAAATTAAACTTTGGATCAGTAGTAGCTCCAGCTTTCTTCTTTTCATGCACCACCCTGCGAATGGTCCACTCTGGAACGCCTGTCATACTTTCACAACGCGCGAGTGCATCTCCCTGCGACATAGTTCTGTTCAGATAATTGAACACGTTGAGCACGATTTCTTTCGCGTCCCTCTTCAGTGCTTTACGAAGCCGTCTACTTGTTCCCTGGCTTTCAGTACTTCCACTCGTGCCATTTGTATTCTCCATGGTTAAGTATAACCAAAACAGTAACCACAGAAACCACAACAATAACAATCACACAACAATTCTTTTAAAAACACACAATATGCGATCGCTCAACGAAACACGTTCCAATGCGTTGCCGACGCCTATGAGTCTGCCGGTCGAGGCGCGTCTTTGATTTCATTGGTTCTACCGGCGGAGAACAATCAGCCATTATTTCCATCTCTGTCTGTGCTGTTGACCACCGCAAAGCCACAGAAACGACATATGTCGTACGCTATACGGCTGTACTGGAAGGAAGCCGGGATCGAGCTCTAATCACGTGTTGATCACGCGTATGAGTCATTACAGTTTTAAATAGTTGTAGTATATAGTGAGCCATCTCACTTGAAGCATTTCGGAGATCATATTTCGAATTTCGGGTAGATTTGCTATGAGTAGGCCATGGAAAACTATCTTCGGATCAGATTTTTACGCTCCTAGGTAGTTAGAAGATTCCACGGATTATCTTCTTACATTGGGACATTATACAGGTTGTTTCACAACAAGAAGTTGATATCTCAAAAAAAAATGTAATAAAAATCCTACAGAAATCGAGATAATAAAATAATACAGTTTACTTTCTTATTTATCTTCACAAAAATCGACCGTTCTTCATTCAGATCACCCACGATACAGATTAAACCTTATTTACACGTTCTTATCAGTATGAAAGAACAAAAAATTCCTGATATTTTGTTTTCCTCGATTGTTTGGTACAAAATTTGCTAATGCATGTTCTAATATCCTGTCGATGAACGCAAAATACAGATACTTATTTTTCAATTTATTAT